AGCTTTTCCAGCAACTTCTGTTTTTGTCCCAAACGATATGCAAGGTAACATGTAACTAAGAACTGCAGATGCGGGAATTCTGAGATAAAAACAGGAATTGACGGAGAAACCCAGCTGGCCTGACAGCATCTGAGGAGAGAAACAGAGTCACCGCTTCGGATACCCTAACCGTTCATCATAATGCCGGGGAAATTATCACGTTTATATGTTGAATTGGCGTATGTATCAAAATATCTCATTAGTTTCCAACCGTTGACTTTACAACTTTAAAAGAGCGTTATCGGCTCTAATGCTGCTTCCGTCACCCTGAGGTGGCGAAAGGCTCTGCATAAATGGTTGCCTTTTTCTTTCCCTTTCAGTCAGTTAGCAGCCATGTCGAATGAAGAATTGGTCCTTTCAGTGTCTACCTCAAAATGTCTCTCTATTTGTCTGTCTTTGTGTATCTACCTCACCCCCTCTCACATTTTCCGACTCTAAGTCTGTCCATCTCCCTCATTTACCATTTCTGCTCTTTGAAAAAGTATGAAAGTTGGAAAGTGTTTGAGAGTGGCAATGCTGAGAGTCTTTTTCCCTCTGGCTGTAGAGTCTAGAAGTGGACTAATATTCTTCGGATAATGTGCCTGTCACTTAGGCCTGAGGTCAGGAGACATTTTTTCCCTCAAGATATAATGAGGTGTTAGAATCCGAAGTAGAATTCCTAATCCACCTGAAAAAAGCAGACAATGCAACCTCAATTACAAAGACGTCTTTACTAGCGGTGTAAAGTGAACGAACAGTACAGCAGAGAATGAGTGATTAGCGCCACAACCACAGCATTACCCAGTCAGGGTACTGTTTGTCCTGACTCACGCTGTTATTCCGACCAAATTGCAGGAAGACTTGTTCAGTTCTACTGATCAGCATTACTGTTTAAATCTGAAAGCAGGGTAATCAAGGAATGGTGTACGTAAAGCAAAGGAACCGTTAGGATTTGAACTCAAGATCTGCATGTCTAGCACACAGAGTACAGTAACAACTTAGCCATAGCGCTCCGTGCTATTTTTTCTTGGCTTTTCCCGTGATATGTGCACTTCTTTAAGCATGCAATGGGTAACTTTTTATTTCTGTGTCAATGTTGCTCAGTGAGAATTTCAATCAATCCCCACTTTTGCAAACACGGACAGTTCACAGCAGAACGTTCTCTACTGAAAACGCACAGAGAGAGACAATCTCCTCTTGCATTGGTTTAAAACTGATCATTTCACCTGTTTAAACTGACAGTAGAAAGATAATTGGTTCATCCTCTCAGGGCCCGCGTTAATACACACAGAGGGACCCTCACAAGAGGAACAGGGTCATTGTGGTGAATCGTTCAACTCATCTGATTCCAGAGCCCTGGCTAGAAACAACCAGAAGTTTCTCGCTGAATTTGTTCAGGGTCTTGACTCGAAGAGACCACAACTCAAATATGAACGTGCATTTCACTGGAGTGGGTCATAAAATTGCGCAGTGACTGTGAATAAAACGACGATAAGTTCCAGCAAAGAAACAGGTAGCAGAGAAACAGGTTACAGGGAAGCAGGCTTCTGAGGACAAATATGTTTCGTTTGCCAGTGAAATTCACAGCTTCGCCAAGTGGACGCCGTTGAAGTAAAGCAGTGACAGCGATTATGTTTGCTGGTTATTCACCTTGTGAACGCTCTTTCCGCCGATGTCCCTGTTAACATCGCATGTCGACAGGATGAAAAATGCAGCAATATGTGTTGGGCCAGTAGTGTAATAGATACGGCGTCTGACTTTGGATTGGAAGATTGCAATGTTGTATCGTCCCTCGCTCCAGTGAAGTTGACAGATTTTTTTCCACCCTTGCAAGTTGACAGTTGCTTCGAAAGAGGAATGTGTGCCCAACGTTGTTTTTGTCAGATTACCAGCAAGTGAACTGATTGGATCACTGGGTTTGGAAATTGAAAGTTGCACATAAGCAGCGTGTGGGACAATTTCAGCTCACTGTCCACTTCATATCCCAGCTCATGGCAACAGTTCCCATTGTCCGAAGAACTTGCTAATGTTCCACGTAAAGCTGCCTTTTGACGGTGAACCTTGTGTGCGGGGACAGTGTGTGGATGTAAAGGAAATGAAATGCATATAATCCTGAGGCCTCTATCACTCTCAGGGGATATGTCTCTGTTTCTCCCTCTGTGGCTTAACATGAGGATGTGTTCTTCAAGGGCTTGTTAACACAGTTTTGTCATCACAAACTTCATTCCTATTCATTTATTACAGGGACAGTCTCGTTGACATTTGCTCTCGAAACTTAAGAACACAAAAGGCGGTGGGCCAAAGGGTGGAAACTGGGACTTGAATAGATAGATGCCTGAAAACATGCACTGACACGATGGGCAGAATGGTATTTTTCCAAGCTCTGAAAACTCGAAGACACTGACAAACTAATCTGCAGAAAAAATGAACAAAACATGAAACGGCAAAAGCAGTGTCAGCTTGAAAAGAAGCACGCCTGCTTTTCCCGTTCCTCGATAGTCTAGTAGTTAAGGTTATGTGCTCTCACCACCACAGTCCGGGTTCAAATTCCGGTTCGGAGTTGCAAATTCATCTCTTCTAGATTTTCCTGACCGCAGCATTGGTGACTGGTTTTTAGAAGCAAAAAAACGCGACGCAAGGTAACCTGCTTTATCCAAAATTATATTCAAGCTGATATGTAACAGAGAAATGCGGAATCTGAAACAAAAGCAGGAATTGACAGGTAACCTCAGCAGGTCTGGCAGCATCTGTGGAGAGAAACAACGTTAACGCCTCGGATCCGCTGACCGTTCGTTAGAACCAAGTTAGTTATGCACTTCCATATTATAACAACGGGGAAATTAGCTCTTTCATCTGTCGAACAGGCACATTTAACAAAATATCTCATTAAGTTCCAACCGTCAATATTACAACTTTAAAAGAACTTTATCAGGGCTAATACTACTGCTTCCATTACCCTGAGGTGGTGAAAAGGTTCGCATAAATGGTTGCCTTTTCCTTTCCTTTTCTGTTAGTTAGCAGCCCAGTCGAATGGAGAATTCATCCTTTTAGTATCTACCTTGATATGCGCCTCTATATGTCTCTCTTTATCTCTGTGTATTCACCTCAGCCCCTTTCACTCTCCATCTGTACATATCCCTCACTTCCCATTTCTGCTCTTTGAAAAGTCTGAAATTGGGAGAATATTTGAGAGTGGAGGTGCTGAGAGGCCTTTACCGCCGCCGACTGTCGAGTCTAGAACTGGGCTGAATTATTCGGATAATGCATTTGTCCCTTAGGTCTGAAGTAAGGAGATATTTCTTTCCTCAAAATATAATGAGCTGTTAGTCTTTGAAATAGACTTCCTAATCCTGTAGGAAAGAAAAAGCAACGCCACCACAATCATACGATTGCAATGATGTCTCCCCTGTCGGTGTAAAGTGAATGAATGCTGAAGGCACAGAATGAGAGTGATCGGCTCGTGGTATCTGTGCCATCACCACAACATTCCCCAGTAAGGATGCAGTTTATCCTGCCTCATTCTGTTATTTCAACCAAACTCCAGGAAGGAATGCTCGATTCGATCCATCGACATTGCTGATTGGATCAAAAACATCATATCGGAGGGAAGTTTACACGAGGAATGGTGGATGCAAAGCGTCGACTGGGGTGGGATTTGAACTTAGAATCGCCTATTTACGAGGTAATCAGCTAAGCTATGGCACTCGTCAGACATCACGCACTATGGCAGAATTTACTACCCATCCCTAATTACTGCAGAGATGGCAGTGATGAGTTACATTATTAAACAATTGAATTATTTAGGACGTAGGAACAGCCGTGATGCCGTTAGGGAGGGAGTTCCAGGATTTAGACCCAGCGACACTGAACGAACAGCGACATATTTCGAACTCAGAATGATGAGGAGCTTAGAGAGGGATGTGCAGTGGCAGTTTTCCCGTACATCGCCTGTCATTGTCCTTCAACATGGAGGCAAAAATCTCATTGGTCTGCTTTTGGCAGATTCAGCGTTTGTGTTCTGTGTGTTACCAGGAATTCATTTTCATTCGGATAATTCACAAGAAGAGAAGTCAATCTTTATTTGCTGACCAGGCCTGAGCAATGCAAACTCTGAATGTTAACCAGGGAACAGTGGTCTTGGCATTAACCCTTGTGACCTGATTTGTACTTACATTTGTGCCTGTTCTTCATGCCAGAGCTATCTTCACGCCAGAGCTAACAGGCTGATGCTAACAGGAGCTTGTTTCGAGGTGCTGAGGTCTGATGAAGGGGCGCCACCAATAATGGCATCGTTCAACTCGTCTGATTCCAGAGCCCTGGCTAGAAACGATCAGAGCTTTCTCACTGAATTTGTTCAGGGTCTTGACTCGAAGAGACCATAACTCAAATATAAACATATATTTCACTGGAGCGGGTCATAAAATTGCGCAGTGATTGTGAAGAAAGTTCCAGCAGAGAAACAGGTCCCAGAGAAAGAGGTTCCAGTGAACCAGGCATCTGACAGCAAATATGTTTCTTTTGCCGGTGAAATTCACCGATTAGCGAAGTGAAGCAGTGACGGAAATTATATTTGCTAGTAATTCACCTGTGAATGTTCTTCCTTCCAATGTCCCTGTTAACATCACAAGTCGACAGGATGAACCCGGCTGCAATATGTATTGAGCCAGTGGTGTAATGGTTAAGGCATCTAACTTTGAATTGGAAGATTGTAATGTTGTATCCTCCCTCGCTTGACTGAAGTTGATAGCTTTTCTAGCCTTGCAAACTGACAGTTGCTTCCAACGAGGAATGTGTACCCAGCGCTGTTTTTCTACGATTCCCAGCAGCTGAAGTGTATCGCTGGGTTTGGGAAATTGAAAGTTTCACATGAGCAACATGAGTGTGGGACTATTTCAGCTCACTGTCCATTTCTTATCGCAGCTCATGGCAACAGTCCCCATTGTCAGGAGAACTTTCTTGCGTTGCATGTAAAGTTGCCTTTTTTCAGGGAACCTTATATGCGGCGACGGAGAGTGGACGTGAAGGAGATAGAGCGCGTATAATCATAGAACAGGACAGCACAGTACAGATCCTTCGGCCCACGATTTGTGCTGATCTATTATCCTGCTAAGATCAAACTGCACTCACACTAGATTTTACTACCATCCATGTGCCTCTCCAAGAGTTGCTTAAATGTTCCTAATGTATCTGACTCCACTACCACTGCCGGCAGCGCATTCCACGTGCCCACCACTCTCAGGGGATGTGTCTGTGTGTCTCCATCCGTGGCTTAACATGAGGATGAGTTCTTCAAGGGGGGTTTTAAAACAGTTTTATCATCTCAAACTTCAGTTCCATTTGTTGATTACAGGCATAATCTCATTGACATTTTCCGTTGAAACTTAAGGACACAAAAGACGGTGGGCCAAATGCTAGAAACTGGGATTAGAATAGATGGATGCGTGGTGACTCGCACTGACACGATGGGCCGAATGGTCTTTTTTCCACGTTGTAAAAACTCAAACACTGGGTGATTCTGATCTGCAGCAGAAATGAGGAAAAATGAAAAGCCAAAAGCAGTGTCACTGAGAAAAGAATCATGCACAGTCAAAGCGTCTTCCCTGATGGTCTAGTGGTTAGGATTCAGCGCTCTCACCACCGCAGCCTGGGTATGATTCCCGGTCAGGGAACGTGCATTCTCTGCTGCTCATTTTTACCTGCCCATGGCACTCCTGACTGATTTTCAGAAGCAGGAGAAGAGACGCGAGATATCCTATTCTATCCCAAATGATATTCAAGCTGACATGTAACAGCGAAATGAGAATGCTGGGAATCTGAACCAGAAACAGCAATTGACAGACAACCTCAGCAGGTCTGGCAGCATCTGTGGAGAGAAACAGAGTTAACGCTTCAGATCAACTGTCTGTTCGTCAGAACCAGGTTAGTTGTGCACTTCTATATTATAACTTCTGGGAAATTATCACTTTTATCTGCCGTATCAACATATTTATCAAAACATCTCCTTAGTTTCCAACCGATAACGTTACAACTTTAAAAGGACTTTATCGGCTCTAATGCTGCTTCTTTTGTCCTGAGTTTGGGAAAGGTTCTGCTTAAATGGTTGTCTTTTCCTTTCCTTTAATGTCAGTTAGCATACATGTCAAATGGAGAATTGGTTCCTTTCACAGCCTACCTCAATATGTTTCCCTATTTGTCTCACATTGTCTCTTTGTATCCACCTCAGCCCTTTCACGTTCTCTCACTCTCCGTCTGTCCATATACCTCATTTCCGATTTCTGCTCTTTGAAAAGTCCGTAATTCGGAGAGTGTTTGACAGTAGAGCTGCTGAGAGGCTTCTCCCACCCCCCACACCACCGACTGTAGAATATCGAACTGGGCTAATATTATTCGGATAATGTCTCTGTCCCTTAGGCCTGAGGTAAGGAGACATTTCTTCCCTAAAAATACGATGAGCTGTTAAACTTTGAAGTAGAGTTCCTAATCCACCAGCAAAGCAAAAGCACCGCCACCGCAATCATTCGTTTGCGATGATGTCTCACCTGTTGGTGTAAAGCGAAAGAATAGCATCAGGAGACAAAGAGGCTGATCAACCCATGGTGTGTGCCATTAACACAACACTCCCCAATAAGGCTGTAGTTTGTCCAGCTGCACCCTGTTATTCTGAACAAACTCCAGAAAGGCATGCCCAGTTCTATCATGATAGAGATCAACAATCGAGAGAAGTTTTAACATGTAACGGTAAACACAAAGTGCAGGCACCACTGGGATTGTGAACCCAGGATCGCCTGTTTACTCGACAGCCACGTTAACTGACTGAGCCACGGCACCATGTTGACCTGTGCTTTACCCACCGATATATGCCTTTCTCTAACTATGTAATCAGTAACACTTTTTCTGTATCAATTTTGCAAACAAACCCCCTTTTGCAAAAACGGATAGTTCACAGTCGTTTCAGAGATAGTAGGAACTGCAGATGCTGGAGAATCTGAGATAACAAGGTGTAGAGCTGGATGAACACAGCAGGCCAAGCAGCATCAGAGGAGCAGGAAGGCTAACGTTTTTCTGAAGAAGGGTCTAGGCCCGAAACGTCAGCCTTGGCCCGAAACGTCAGCCTTCCTGCTCCTCTGATGCTGCTTGGCCTGCTGTGTTCATCCAGCTCTGCACCTTGTTATTTCTAGTTCACAGTTGAATGTTCTCCTCCGAAAATGCACTGAAAGAGACAATCTCCTCTTGCATTGGTTGAAAACTGATAATTTCACCTGTTTAAACTGACGGCAAAAACAGGATTGGTTCATCCTCTCGGGGTCTGCATTAACACACACGGAGGGACAGGTTCATTGTCGCGAACTAATCAGGAGTGATGGGTAATTGGGCAGTATCGTCTGACCCATTAGAATGGGTAAGACCCGATTCGACATGGCTGCTAACTGACAGAAAAGGAAACGCCTCGCGTTTCTTTTCCTTCTTCTAAAAGCCAGTCAGTAATGCTGCGGTAACGAACATCGAGGAGAGAAAAATTTGAATTCCCTAACCAAGAATCGAAGTTGGGACGCGACGGTGAGAGCGCCAGATTTTAACCAGGAGACAGTCAGAGAAAGTGTTAACTGGGCGTGCTTCTTTTCTGGATGACATTATTTTTGCCTTGTTTTATTTTTGCTCATTTTGGCTGTAGTGTAGTTCCTCCCTGTCATCGAGTTTTCATAGCTTGGAAAAATACCATTTGGCACATCGTGCCAGTGCATGTTTTCAGGCATCTATCTATTCAAGTCCGAATTTCCAGCATTCAGCAGAACATTTTGTGTTCACAAGTTTCGAAAGGCAAATGTCAATAAGGCAATCACTGACTGGGAATCGAACTGGCAGCACGGACCGCACTGATTTTTAAACACTCGACTACCACAGACGACGCCAAAGCGACTTACATCGTTTCTCACTTCTTTTGCCTTTTCATTTTTCGTCATTTTGACTGCAGACCGCTTTCTCCGTGTTTTCGAGTTGTTAATAGCGTGGAAAAAAGACCATTCTGCCCATCGTGTCAGTGTGAGTCACCACGCAATCATCTATTCGAAACCCAGTTTCTAGCATTTGGCCCACCGTCTTTGATGTTCTTAAATTTCAAGGGAAAATGTCAATGAGATTGTCCCTGCAACCAAACAATGGGACTGAAGTTTGAGATGATAAAATTGTCTTAAAACCCCCTTGAAGAACTCATCCTGTCTACAAAATCATGAGAGGTATAGGCAGGGTGGATAGCAAGAAGCTTTTTCCCAGAGTGGGGGACTCAATTACTAGGGGTCACGATTTCAAGGTGAGAGGGGAAAAGTTGAAGGGAGATATGCATGGAAAGTTCTTTAGGCAGAGGGTGGTGGGTGCCTGGAACGCGTTGCCAGCGGAGGTGGTAGAGACGGGCATGATAGCGTCATTTAAGATGTATCTAGACAGATACATGAATGGTCAGGGAGCAGTGGGATACAGATCCTTGGAAAATAGGCAACAGGTTTAGATAGAGGATCTGGATCGGCGCAGGCTTGGAGGGCCGAAGGGCCTGTTCCTGTGCTGTAATTTTCTTTGTTCTTTGTTCTTGTTCTCATGTTAAGCCATAATGGGAGACGCTCAGACATATTCCCTGAGACTGACAGAGGCCTCAGAATTATATGCGCTCCATCTCCTTCACGTTCACTCTCCATCGCCGCTCACAAGGTTCCCCAACAAAATGCAGCTTTATGAGGAACACATGCAGATTCTCTTGACAATGGGAACCGTTGCCATGAGCTGGGATATGAAATGGACAGTGAGATGATATAGTCCCACACTCATGTTGCCATGTGCAACTTTCTATTTCCAAAGCCCAGCGATCCAATCACTTCAGCTGCTGGGAATCTGACAAAAACAGCGTTGGGCAAACATTCCTCTTTGGAAGCAACTGTCAATTTGCAAGGTTAGAAAGGCTGTCAACTTCACTTGAGCGAGGGAGGATACAACATTGCAATCTTCCAGGCCAAAGTGAGACGCCGTATTCATTACACCACAGGCTCAACACGTCTTGCTGTATCTTGCATCCTGTCGAATTGTGATGTTAACAGGGACATCGGTGGAAAGTGCATTCACAAGGTGAATAACCAGCAAAGATAATCGCTGTCACTGCTTCACTTCAATGGTCTCCACTTTGCTAATCGGTGAATTTCACTAGCAAATGAAACACATTTGTCCTCAGATGCCTGCTTCACTGTCACCTGTTTCTCTGCCACCTGTTTCTCTACTGGATCTTGCCTTCGTTTTATTCACAGTCATTGCGAAGTTCTGCCTCTCGTGTCTTTTTGAAAATTATCTTCTCTCAACTTAAAAATGTGTTCCCTAGTCTTGAAATCTCCCATCCTACGGAAAAGGCAACTACCATCTATACAATCTACACGTTTCATTATTTTATAAACTTCTGTCAGGTCACCTCTCAACCTCCTAAGCACCAGCGAAAAAGGTCCAAGTCGATCCAAACTTTCACTATAACTCAAACTTTCCATATCAGACAACATCCTGGTAAACCTCTTCTTAACACTCTCCAGCTTAATAATATGCCTCCTATAACTGTGCGACCGGAATTGCATACTGTATTCGAGAAGAGGCCTCACCAACATTCTGTGCAACCTCAACATGACTTCCCAACCCCTAAACTGAAACGACTGAGCAATGAAGGCAAGCGCGCAAAAAACTACCCTGTCTATATGGGACGTAAACTTCAAAGAATTATGTACCTACACCCCTAGGGCCCTAAGGAGGCACCTCAACAGTGAGACAAAGTCTGTGGGCGGGTGGGGCATAGTTTTGAATTTCTTCGACTTCACGTGTAAAGAAATTTATTGAACACATGCAGCTGAATAAGATTGGCAGTTCATTCTCCGTGAAGCAATATAAATGGAACTGAACATTTTTTTTCAATTAAAAAGTAAAGTTTGAACCTCTCGAGTCGGAAGGGAACTGTCGCTCAGAGACGCAATTCCTGCTTTAAACTGGCTCCTTAAAAATTTGAGTACATTCCGATGATGTTAGATCCATTTCATACTTTCTGAACTCCATCCAAGAAATCCACAAATAAGACTCTGTCTTTTTGCATTTTGAACCCTCCCTTCTTCTCAGCAGCTCTTTATTTTAAGATGATAAAAATTCTGACCAAAGTTGAAGGCAACATTCGCCTGTTTCAATGAGATAAATCTAACTCCTTTTTGATTATTGACCTGTGCGAGTTTGAATAAATTGAAGCGAGTTAAACAGCAATTTTCTGCAATTTAACTCAGTGCAGTCAGCCATGTGAGAAACGTCTTCGAGCTGAAAAAAATCACCTTTTTTCTCTCTGTAGATATTTCTTCACATTTTGACGTTTTGCAGGAGTTTGTCGATTGTTGAGTCATTTCCCAGTTCACAGAAACTGGTATTTTCCTATAAACTCAAAATCGCCTTTCCTCATTACCCTCTTGAGCCACGACAACTTAAAACTGCTGCAGGTGAGGCTCCAACTCACAACCTTGGCATTGTACACGTTTCGAAACTGTCATGTAAGTACAGTGCGCTGACCGATTGTGTCACTGGAGCAGCACGTTATTTTAAGTTTCCATATTTCGGGTTATACCTTAACAGTTGGCAAATTGTCTGTGAACTGGGATATGATCGTCTTCACTAGTGGTTCCTAAGTTGTTCGAGGAATTTAGTTAATTACGCAGTGCTAAACTGGATTGAAATGTACATTTTCAACATTTTCTTTCACTGTCCTTGATGTTTTTACTCTGTAGAAATATGTCAATTGAGTTCTTGAACAAACTTAATAACTGACCTCCACAGTCTCTGGGGCACCGATTTCCAAAGCTTCACCTCAGTCTGAGTTCTCTCACCTCAGTCTGCTGTTTGAGGTATGTTCCTGTTGTGGGAAATTAACTTCACCGTGTACCAAGTGCTGCTGCTGGCATGCCTTCTGGCACTGCACTCTTTTTACACTTGCTCAAGTGTTGCCCTGATCACGTCATGGCTCCGTGTCACAAGGCTCAGGAAAAGAACACAGGGCAATGTCCAGAAAGATAAATTTTATTGGTAAAAAGCAGTTCATGCGGCTTTCTGCGTTTATTTACGAGTTTTGCATCATTTAGAATTTTGAAACTGTGCACCTTGTATACAAGTGCGGTTCATTAATATCTGTCCAGAGGAGAGATTGGTGTCAATACTGACTCTGTGCACTCTCCTCGAGTCAGGAAAACAATTCATCACAGATAACGTTACATCCCCACTGTCATGGGCCTTTCATGCTACAAAATTCTTCACAGAATTCGATTCAGCAACAATTCACTAACTTCGATTGCAAAATTCACACAGCCGACAGGATACACACTACACCCGCCGTCATCAACCTTCACCATTACTTCATTCAAGGACACGTTCCAAGATTTTCATGAAGAGTGAATGCATAAGTGTGTAACACAAAGGTAAATTGAATTTCACATTTAAAATTAATTTAAAACTCGATTTAGAATATCAGAATATCATGTTTAGCACCACAGTCAGAACTCCAGCCCAGCAATTGAGAAATCTACCCCTGAATCCCCAACATCCACACGGCAACTTGCTCCATGTACACATTTGGAAACCTATGTGAAGGAGCATGCTGTCCCATAGAGCGCCTGTGAGCATCCTCAATTGTCTGACCTAAAGCTACGACAGGAGCTGTCCATTCCAGTTGTAACAGCTGTGGGGTAAAGGTGAGAAACTTGATATTCAGTGCTGTCGATTCACCTTTTTCATCATCATGACAGGAACGTTTAAGAGGCATTTAGACAGACACGTGAACAGGAAGGTAATAGAGAGATACGCAACCATTGGCAGGCAAATGGGATCAGTTCAGTTCAGAATAGCGTTCAGCACAGACCTATGTTGCACTGTTTTTGTTCCACGTTATTGTTGACAATTCTCTGCCAGAAACAACACCGAAAGA